TGATGTTAGCTGTGGGTTTATCATATATGGCCTTTATTATGTTGAGGTACTTGCCCTCTATACCCATTTTGCTGAGAGTTTTTATCATGAATGGATGTTGAATTTTGTCGAATGCTTTTTCAGCATCTATGGAGATGATCATGTGGTTTTTGTCCTTGTTTTTGTTGATGTGGTGGATGATGTTGATGGATTTTCGAATGTTGTACCATCCTTGCATCCCTGGGATGAATCCCACTTGGTTGTGGTGTATGATCCTTTTGATATATTTTTGAATTCAGTTTGCTAATATTTTGTTGAGTATTTTTGCATCTATGTTCATCAAGGATATTGGTCTGTAATTTTCTTTTTTGGTGGGGTCTTTGCCTGGTTTTGGTATTAGGGTGATGTTGGCTTCATAGAATGAGTGTGGGAGTATTCCCTGCTCTTCTATTTTTTGGAAAACTTGAAGGAGAATGAGTATTATGTCTTCTTTGTATGTCTGATAAAATTCCGAGGTAAATCCATCTGGCTCGGGGGTTTTGTTTTTGGGTAGTGTTTTGATTTCCGCTTCAATTTCTTTGCTCATAATTGGTTTGTTTAAATTTTGTGTCCATAGGACATTTTTAATTTAAGAATGACAAAAACTTTAATCATTTTATAAGCTCTAGTTTTTAAAAATTATACCAAAAAATCACTTTTACTCATGCCCCGCAACAGCGCAACTGTTTCTGGTTCCAGCTCCTCCGAGCCTTGCCTGGGCCACGCGTGGCTCTTACCTAGCCAGGGCAAGAGAGCGGGGTGCCATCTCTCAGCATTATGCCCCTCCATCATCACGACTAGGAAGAGCAGGACTGTCCCCAGGGAGGAGGTGCCCTCCTGGGGCTTTGTCTTCTGCAATTTCCTGATGTTCTTGATAAGTCATGTCTTCGTTCTTTGAACTGACTTCCTTGGGATATGCTCATCTTTCTAACCACTGAGGCCCTTTGGAGTTTTATTCCTGGTCTTTATGTCCCCAGACATATGTCCGTCCCCTCTGGTCCCTGCAAGGTGCCACTGGACTTCTGTTTCCCACTGTCCTTCAGTGGGGAGAGCTGGTCCTTTTGTCCCCATTAAGACCCTTGGGGAGTCAAGACCCCCCTGCTTGTCCCTCTATATCTCTCTCTATGAGGATCTCTGGCTTGACTTTCCTGAAGACCCTCCTTTATTTCTGCAAATCCCTGCCTGCTCAGGGGTTCATGGGGCTGTGATTTTAAGCAGGGGGGACCTCACTGTGAGGGAGAAGCCAGAGGCATACGTGTCCCCAGGCATTCCCTCCACAGCCCCCACCTTGGCCCAGCCCAGAGCCCTGCTGGGTGCTGGAAGGCCAAGGGGAAGGTGCCCTGGGTTGCTCCCCGCCCCGTCCCTGGTCACTGGGGTTCCCTGAGCCCTCATGTAGGAGGCAGGCAGTGTGGCTGGGGCAGGCCCAGCCTGGGGAGTGTGAGCTTCAGTTCCACCACTGGCTAACCAGCTGACCGGGGGCAAGGGGTTCACCCTCCCAGGACTGTTTGCTTCTCCACAAAGTGAGGATCATGGTGATATTTTCCCCAAAGGCTCATTGTGAGGATAATACCCCAAAAAAATGCTTCAGACAGCCTGGCACACACTTGGTGATGAGTATACGTTCGCTGTATGCTTCCCTGACTCCAGGCACCCTACCACAGGAGAAGAGGCGCAGGGGGCCCTCAGTGAGGGAGGTAGGAAGTGAAAAAGAGTAATCATGGAGTTCGAGGTTTGGAGGATGTGCCTGAGGAGGAGGCAGAGAGGTCAGGAGGACTTTCCTGGAGGAGGTGGTGTTCTAAAGACCGAGGAGCATTCCCTAAGTAAGCGGGGAGGAAAGAGTAGTTTCTGCAGAGACGTCCACAGGCTGGGAGGGGAGCAGATGGACAGTGAGGAGAGCATCTGAGTTCCAGCCGTTAGGACTGTTAGGCCGAAAGACAGACAGAAGCAGCCAGACAAGGAAAGGATAAGGCTGGAAGACGCTGCCCACATAGGTTCAAAGAAAACGCCGCCCACACTCTGCCCAGGTAGGGCGTCCTGTGTGAGGACAACAGAGGCCCTGCAGGGAGACAGCTTCCTCCCCACCCAGATCCCAAAGACACAGTGACGGAGCCAGGAGCTGCTCACCTCGCCCCCGCCTGGAGGAGAGGACGCGCGCACTGAGGGGGAGGGCTGTACGATGGGCCTGTCAATCAGATGACCCCACCTTGTCAAAGAGGGCCTCCTAAGCAGAATCAGCCTTATCACCTTATGTAAGCCTCCCGCCTAACTAATCGAGGCCTTGGTCTACCTTGACTCTGGCCCGTTCCTCCCTTGGAGTGTATTCAAATAAAACTTTTCCTCTGCCTCATTACTGCATCTCTGCCTTTCAGTTCTTTTTTGTGGCAGGGACAAGAACTAAGAAAAAAACCTGACCTGTAACACAGCCTGTGATGGGGGGACGCAGAGGGAGTCCAGGAGGGGAGCAACTGGTCAGACGCTCGTCAGAAAGATGCTGAGACTTCAAGGTGAAGACTGGGTTGGGGGAGCAAGACTGAGCAGGCCGACCAGCTTAGAGGCTGTGGGAAGGCCCAGACCAGAAAGGAAGGCCTGCCCGGGGGCAGCATGGCAGCTGGTGTAGTGCTGGGCTCGGAAGCCGGGTGAGTAATGAGGAACCCGCAGTGGCCGTGCCTGACGCCCGAAATGGAAATGGAAATAGTTGCTCAGAAGCGGGAGGGGTGGGGGTCGGAAGGGCTCAGCTTGAGACAGGCTGGTTTGAGGTGTGGCGGTCCCATCGCAGATCCAGCAAAACCTCTCACATCGGACCTGGGGCTGAAAATGAGACAGTGCGTGAAGCTGACTGGCCCCCTGAACCTGAGCATGGAGCTGTCTCCCCCAGTCTTGGGGTTTCCACCATACTGGGGAGATGTGGCCTTTGCCCACCACTGTGCAGAAAGCTGCGGTGTTTCTGGTGGTGGACCGCCCGGCGCCTCCTTTCCTTGGTCTGAATCCTCCTCTGCATGCAGCCTCCCCGGGCCCTGGGGCCTGAGCCCCACCCCCACCAGTGCCAGCTCCCTGGCCTGGGCTCCCCTGGCCCTAGCCCCAAAATGCCTGGAGTTACAGCAGCTGGGCTGGCGGCAGGCACTCAGGCGTGTGCTGGCCTGGAGGGCCTTCAGGGCTGCAAAGGTGTGATGGCCCAGTGGTAGGGTGGGGTCGTGGGAGCCCCGGGAACCCCAACCTGGGACTTGCAGTGAAGCTGAGGCTGCAGAGCATGGCCTGTCCTTACTCCTTGTGACTCAGGAAGGAATGAGGCATCAGGGCTGCAGGTGGTGAGCTGGACAGAGAGGAAAGGGTGTAGAGATGAGGGCAGCGGGCTGTGTAGCAGAGAGACCCACTCAGCCTGAAAAATGTCCCTTGGCTTAGAGAAATGGCTGTCACCAGTGACCCTGGCCAGGGAGAGGAGCTGGGGAGGTAGGGAGGGCCGGTGGAGACACGAATCAAAGATTCCTCTTTCCAAAGTCAGAGACTGGGGCAGGGAAGAGGGTGGCAGAGGGAGGTGGAGCGGGCTGTACTGTATGGCAGCCTCATCTCTTGAAACAGGACAGACCTGACACTTCTGTGGGCTGAAAGTTTGGAGAGCGGCTGCCCTGGGCTCACCAAGGAAGTTGAGGAGGGGATGGCCAGGCCAGGGGTAACTCCACCGCCCACATGCAGAAGGCTGCACCCAGAACACTCAGGGAGAGTGCTTTAATGCCAGAGCCAGGGCTTGGGGCTCCAGGGAGACCCAGGACAGGTGGCAGCCACCTAAGGCTCCTCCTGAAAGGGAGGGGACAAAGGCAAAGGGAACCAGAGCCTGTGGGTAGAGATAAGGTGGCTGGTGACGGTATAGCCCCATGGATCAGCAGGGCAGGTTGCCTGCTGGGCGAGAGGGAACACTGCTGCCCCAGAAATACAGGTGGCCCTGCAGGTGATGGCTTTGTGTGGGACAGACAGGAAGGGAGGGGCTCCAGGATGTGCAGAAATCCAGAGAAGCCTCGGCCGGTCGCAACACTGTCAGGGCTTCAAACCAGTCATGCCTACATCTTGAGAGTCAGAGACACCCCCCAAATGCAGTCTGGGTGCCTGATGCAAGGTGGAGGGGGCTCCTTTTCCCCGGAAGACAAGGGAAAAGTCACCGATTGCTGGGTCGGGAGTTAGTGGGTCTGGACCTGGGGACTGGGTCTTGATGTGACGACCCAGGGGCACAGGAGGGCTGCGGGTAGAGGCCAGACTTCACAGGTGGGGTGGGGGCTCTCCTGAAGGCCAGAGCAGAAAAGGCTGGCACTCGCGACTCGGGATTTGGGTTCAGTCTGCTCCGACCCTCAGAGCATTCCAAGGGGTATGAGGACGTTCCGGGGAGCCCATTGTCCTGGGTCCCTGGGGGCAAGGCCGTGAGAACACAGCGGGCCGGTTCCACGCAGCGAACGCAAAGGAAAGCAGCGTTGGGAACCCAATACCCGGCGCCGCCGCGCAGCCGCAGAGGAGGCGGGGCACACAGTGCCCGCCCCTTATGCTAATATGAACGCCACTGCTCCGCCCCGCCCAGGGGTTCGGGCGGGCCCAACGCCGCGGGATTCGAGAGGCCGGCAGCGCTCCGCGGCGCACCTTTGGGGGCTGAGCGGGCGGAGAGCCGGAGTCCGTGCCGGTGGGTCGATGGCACAGGGCGGGAGCTGTCAGCCGGCGGCTAGGGAGTCCCAGGGCAGTGGTGCTCCCCCGCCGGAGCAAAGTGGTACGGCCCGCAGGGGCGGGGCCAGGGTCATGTGATGCGACCGAGGCCGCCATTTTGCTCTGCGGTGCTGGTATTTAGAGCGCAACGGCTGCCGGGCTCTTCGCTTTGGCAGCGCCTGACTGCCTCCTATCCTCCCGTCGCCAGGCGCCCGGCTCGTCCTCTCCCCCGCCTCGGTCCGCTGAGCTCGCCCCTTCCCGACCCGCAGACATGTCCGAGACCAAGGGCGGCCCCGAGTACGCCTCCTTTTTCGCGGTCATGGGCGCCTCGGCCGCCATGGTCTTCAGCGGTGAGCGCCCCGGCAGGAGGGACCCGGGAGGCGGGGGGCGCCGGGGCGCGCGGGGCTACTGCCCGCAGCTCGCGGGGGTTCGCTGTCTGACGTCAGTCTGACGTAATTGCAAGCTGTTGGGGGGGATGTCCCGGGCCTCACTTGACTGCGGGCGGGGGCCGTCGAGTGTCTGGAGCGCAGGGCAAGCGGGCCGGGCCGGGGTGCGGGTTCCGTCGGTCTCCCGGGGATTGTGGGCCGGGCCCCCAGCCCCTGGTCCGTATTGGTGCGGGGGTGGGGTGGTGCGGCCGCTGCCATCTTAGACCCAGGAGAGGCAGGAGGGAGGCTGGGGTGGGGGCGCGCGGTCCTGCGCCTGCTCCGCACCCGCCCCCCCATCCTGCGGGCAGGTGTGACATCACACCTCGGAAAGCTCCCCGGACGCGGGGCGGGCGCTGTCTGTGGACCGCGGGGGCGGGGGAATCGGACCCCGGCGCTCCCTGCAAAGCCCTCGCCCTTGTGGCGGTCTGGTCCCCCGGCAGGCGTCAGGTGGTCCATACCGAGAGGCAGGTGCTTCCGGTTAGGGCTTGTCATTGTTTCCCAGTATCCCTGTGGGCCGTATGGGTTGATTGGGAAAGCTGGACTGACGGGTTGCTCCTGAGAGCTGTCAGGGATCCAGTGGTGGGAGTATGTGGAACTGGGGTCGGACAGGCGGAGGGCAAACGATGGGTGGATGGGAGGCTGGCCAGCATCAGCGCTGTGTTTAGACACTTGCCTCGGGGCTGGTGAGAGGGTATCATGGAGTGTCAGCATTGAGGGGATTGGGTCTTCGTCTTTAGTCTCCCAGGTCAGACCCCCAATGAATGAATAAATGAATGACCAACTGATCAACCTTCCTCCTCTTGCCTGAGGCCTGGAATCAGGAGGGGCTGCCCTGGGCATGGAGAAGGGGCCTTCCAGGGTTCTTAATGGCACCCGGGTTTTGAAGTTGGGTCTTGACAGTTCTGGGGTGTCAAACTTAGTGAAAATTGGTCCACCTGGGAGATGGGTGGTTGGGCTAGGCCCAGGAATGTGGGCCGCAGGGTGGTGAGCCCTGGCCCAGCTGCAGCCCCCGTGGACTGGTCTGGCCTGGTCTCATCTAGGCCTCCTCGGTAGGTCTGGTTTCTCACTTTGATGACCCGCCCTGCCCCACCCTACCTGGTGGACTGGGGAGGCTCCCTGTGCAGGAATGTGACAGGTTTGAACTCCAAACAGTCTCTGCTGGCTGTAAACACTAGTGGAGGTAGGGGATTGGGGTTCTGCTATTGTGGGGGCCTCCCTCTATGTGGGCCTGCCTGCCAGTCATGAGCTGTTGAGTGAGCCCTACCCTTCCCATCACGTGGGAGTGAGGGGCACTTGTGGGAGAAGTGGGCTGGACTTCCCCTTCCCTCTCACCAAGGCTTGCTCTTTTCACATCTTCTGGGCTCCCTCCAGCATCTCCCAACAGACTGCTCTACCAGCTCCACCAGCTCCACCAGCTCCACCTGGCCTTTTCTGCCCTTTGCCTCCAGAATGTCTCCAGGGATGCTAGTTTGGCCACATGGGGGTTGCAGCTTATGGCTGTCATTCATTCGTTCATTCATTCATAAGATCTTACTGGAGCTCTGAGTATGTGCCAGGCACAGGGGTATGTCAGTGAACAAAAGTTCTCCACCCACATGGAGCTTAAATTCTTGCTGCCACTACTTGTTTCTGAAGCTGAATTTGCCCCCGGAGTGCTTTTTCTGTGCCCAGCTCCTGGCCTCCATCTGATCACCAGGTTCATCTTCCACTGCTTCTAGAACTTTGTATTTTTAGATGCCTGGCCGGCAGGCCAGTCTCTGAAAGTTAATAATCAGGGCATCACTGATCCAGGGCATTTTTGTTTGCTCCAGGCTCCTAGGGAATGGGGCTTCCCACTCCTCTTGGTCTGAAGGCAGCTCACCACCCCACACGGGGCTTAATGTGGCCATGCAGTAGCCAACTTTTTACTTGAACAATTGGGTCAGTTTCCAACTTAATATCTCTTTCTAAACATGCATTTCTCAAAGTCTTGGTTTTACCCCTCTTGCCTATCTCAACTAGGTCCTCAGTTCTCAGGCCGTGGGTGTTGCTCCCTTGCTGACCAAGCTCTGTCCCCAACTTCTGGACTTGATTGCCTAGCACTTGCTGATTGGTCTTAGCAACAGAATGAGGCCCACTCACTCTCAGGCCTCCCAAATCCCTATTGCAGCTTCCCCTTCTTTCTTATGACAGAAGTTCTGTCGATTATTTCTTCATCATGTCTCCCATGAAGCCGTCAGTTTCTCCTTTTCTGTGTTTCCTGTGACTTCCTCTCTGCTTTGGTCTATATTACGGGAACTGCTTCCTGTCCCCTGCTCTATCCGAAGCCTCATCAGTCCTGGCCCCCAGAGGTGGTGTCCCAGGCCTTCCCAGACTCCTGCTGCTGCACAAGCCATGCTGCTTGTTTCCCTCCTGGTGGTCAGCCCTGTTTCTTCTCTCCCTTCTGTGTCGCTGCCCCAGTCATGTGATCTCCCACCTCTATAGACACGGGCCCAGCTGACTTTGGGTCTGTGGCAGGGTTCTGTGACCTGGTATGCTGAGGTTCCTGTTGTCAGTCTTCCTCACAGGGCCACACAGTAGCCTTTGTCCTTCCCCTTGAATAACGAGTTGTGGTGCTGGGCCTGCAGTAGGAACCCCAAAAATGCACTGCAATCAGGAGAGTTGCCAAAAAAGCTTTGTGAAGATTGGCTGTGAGCCCCAGGCTGAAGGCGCTGAATGTCTAGGCAGGGCAGTGTTGGAGTGCCTGTGGGACCAGGTCGGGAGGCAGTGCAGGGCCCTCTGCTGCCTTCCTCCCTCCAGTTCACAGTCTAGACCCATTATGGTTGGCATCTCTGTTCACGCTGTCTGGAACCCTTTCCCTGCTCACCATCCCTCCTGCACTCAGATGTCATCCGTTCTAGAGCCCTTCCCCAGGCTTCCCTCACCCTCCTGGTCTCATCAGGCTCAGAGCCCTGAGAAGGCAGAGCCACACTGACCTCATGCCTGCCAGGCAGTGAGTACAACACAGGCATTTTTTCTGGCCCAAATAGGCGAACACAACATGCAAAGGAATGGCTGGGATTGTCTTGGTCTTTCCACCTCTGATCCTGTTGTCCTCTGTTAAGGCAGAGCAGCAGGACCCTGGAGGGCAAGTGGCAGGAGTCAGATCTCCCTGGGCCCCCTGGTGGCTCTTTGGTCTGTGCAAAAGGATAGAGGCCTGGAAAGAACTTTGAGGAATGCAGCACACCCTAGGAAAAGGGAGGAGGGATGTGTTGGAGCACTTCCCCTCCACCCCCCTCACTGTAGGCCCCCAGCAGAAGCCAGGCTTCTGTGAACTCAAGGCCCCTGTGTGCACAGGGGCAGTTCTAGGATGTCTGCCGAGTGAGGCCTAGTGGCTGACTGGGTGATCGTTCTGAGGCCTGTAGTGCCCTGTGGAATGCCCTGTCCTTAGCTCACCCAGCTCATCCTCTGGCTGTTAGGGGATCCTCCCCAAACTCAAGGTCCAGGCCTGCTGTGTAGCTGACAGTGCATCCAGCCAGCTGAAACAGACGCAAGCCCTCCCAGCAGTGAGTCCCAGGGGTGGGAAGTTTGGGGTAGGGGGGGGAAGTCAGGGAAACTGGCCTGAGGCCACAGGACCTGCCAGGTCGGCTTCCCTGACACTGGTCAGAGCTTGTGTGCAGTGGGGACTCTTCAACGTGTTGCTCCTGGTATGGCCTCAGGGCAGAAGGGCTGACTGGCCTGCCCAGCATTTGAGGTAGTGGGATGTAGCAGTCACCTCTAGCGGAGCTTTTCCAGCCCTTTCCTGACCTGAGGACCTGGGGATTCCTGGTGGGTTAAAAGTGTCCAGAGTCTCCAGCAAGGAAGGCTTCAGGGGCCCAGCTGCCTGTTTCCTGTGTGACTGGGCTGCTGGACTAGCCGCACCTCTGCCTCAGCTTCTGGGCTGCTATTACTAAAGCTGCCTGGGAGTGTGGAGTCTGCAGCACCATATGGAGTGCTGGGGAGCACAGGTTGGCGTTTCCCAGCAGAGCAGGAGCCAGATACGCCGGCCAGAAGGGCTGCTGGTAGAAGAAAAATGGCTCCCCAGGTTTCTCAGGTGCCCATCTGTGGCCATTCCTCATGAGGGCCATCACCTGTCTCTGGCTGGGTGCCACTGTCATCTCTCCCTTGATAACCTGGAGCAGCCCTCAACTGTGTCAGAGCGACCCCAGGGTCCTGGGGCAGGTACTCTGGGTTGACTTTGCCTTCCCTCCCTCCCCCAGCCTTGGGTGCTGCCTATGGTACTGCCAAGAGCGGCACCGGCATCGCGGCCATGTCCGTCATGCGGCCAGAGCTGATCATGAAGTCCATCATCCCAGTGGTCATGGCTGGCATCATCGCCATCTATGGCCTGGTGGTGGCAGTCCTCATCGCCAACTCCCTGAATGATGGCATCAGCCTCTACAAGTGAGTAGGGGTCTTTTCCCCATACCTGGCTCAGGACCAGGCCACTGCACTGAACTGGGGAGGGCTGGGGTGTGGGGCTCTCCCAGGGGGTAGCTAATACCTTGTGTCCTCTCTACCCTAGGAGTTTCCTCCAGCTGGGCGCTGGCCTGAGTGTGGGCCTGAGCGGGCTGGCAGCCGGCTTTGCCATTGGCATTGTGGGGGATGCCGGTGTGCGGGGCACTGCCCAGCAGCCCCGGCTATTCGTGGGCATGATCCTGATCCTCATCTTCGCTGAGGTGCTGGGCCTGTACGGTCTCATTGTCGCCCTCATCCTCTCCACAAAGTAGCCCTTCTCCAAGTCCGCCGGCCACATAATACGATGTAAAGACCATCCCCTCCTCATTCCAGAATGAACAGCCTGACACACACTCACGGGGCAGCTGACCCCAGTAGCTGGTCTTGTAAATGCGCAGTGTCCTAGTGCCCCTGGTCTGTTGCCCCCCGCCTTGCCCCCGCCCGCCCCGTGCAGTGGACATCTGGGCCCCCTCATCACCCATCCAGGCCCCGAACCAGTGAGGATGCAGGCCTCTGGCCACCCCACCCATCTGCCCTAGAGTGCTCTGTGTGCAAGGATGAATTAGAGTTGTCCTTTTTCTCTTCACTGGATGTTTATTATTTATAAAGATTTGACCTGTTCATCAGTCTGGAGCAGTCTCCATCTCCCAACCATATAGTAACCTTAGGTAGAGTGTTGCGTTGTGGGGTACCGTGTGCTCAGACCATGGTGGGCCCCGCCCTCCTCTGGCCCCGGCTGCGGGGCAGTGCAGTGCTTTGCCAGGCCTGGCGCCGAGCCGTGTCCAATAAAGCTCTCGGATGTTACTGGACTCCCGTGCGCGGCCCGCCTGTGTGGACTCTGGGGGCGGGGCTGCGGGTGCGCCGGTCACGTGGGTGCCTGATCACGCGGGCGCCGGCGTCAGCTGGGGGTCACGTGGGCGGGCCGGAATCGGCGCGGGACTCTCCGAGCCGCCCTCTCAGTTGGACCGGGTGGCTCAAGATGCGCGGCGGCCAGGGCGCTGTGCGGGCGCCGGTGCTCCAGTTCACCAACTGCCGCATCCTGCGGGGCCGGACGCTGCTCAGGTTAGGTGCGGGGCGCTGCGCGGGTGGGGTGCAGACGGGGGTGTGGGGGACGTGAAGCCGGCGGTCCGAGCCCCTGCCCGGCCCTGTCCGCAGCGAGGACCTGTGGGTGCGCGAGGGCCGAATTCTGGACCCGGAGAAGCTGTTCTTTGAAGAGCGGCGCGTGGCCGACGAGCAGCGGAACTGCGGAGGCTGCATCCTGGCTCCCGGCTTCATTGACGTGCAGATCAACGGTGTGGCCTTGGGGCTGGGGATGCAGGGGAAGAGCTCTGAGCATCGTGCGACCTCCTCTTTTTTGTGGCCTTAGGTGGATTTGGGGTTGACTTCTCTCAAGCCACGGAGGACATGGGTTCAGGGGTTGACCTGGTGGCTCGGAGGTTATTGTCCCACGGAGTCACTTCCTTCTGTCCCACCTTGGTCACGTCACCACCGGAGGTTTATCACAAGGTGAGGCCAGGCTCCCGGCCTTCAGCGAAGGGGATCCCAGAGGCAAGCAGCCTCATAAGTTTCAAGTATTTCCTTATCCCTTGACAGTTGCATCTGGCTCACCTACTGGCCCCCTTCCACCTGGGCCTGGAGCCCTGCCCCCGGGCTTTCTCATTCATGTGTCCCTCTGCCTGGTCCCCCCAGACGCTCTGCCGTTAGGTTGTGATGGGTATAGCTGTTCCCGTAGGCCTCCGCACTTGCTGCCTCAGCACCTTGGCAGCCACACAACTGCGTCACCCTGCACTCTGCCCGCCTCGAGGCTCCAGAAACTGGTCTCTGGGGACAGATAGCCACATCTGTAGTGGCTCCTCAGGCTCATCCTAAACTGTCTGTGCTGTGACGCGGTGAACATGCTTTCCAGAAGGAAACTCCATTGACTACCCCAGGCCGCCCTCTGCTGCTTCACCTGCACCCACACCCGTTCCACTTCCCTTCCTACCTGTGAGTCTGAGGATTGAGTTATCTGTGGTGCACTTATACTTTAAATTTGTCTACTTTTTGCGTAGGTTCTCCAGTTTTACTCTACACTGCATCTTCGTACCATTTTCTTGTGTCTGTATGTGTGTTCTTTTCTCCAGAACTGTCTGAGAGTAGGTTGCATACATCATGTTTCTTTACTGCTTAGCGTTCAACTGACTTAAAAGTGGATTTTTCTCCTGTGCAGCTAGTAGGATTGCTGAGTTTAGGGAGCTAACAGCATCCTTTGACCTACCACCTTTGTCCCGTTTCTGTCATCCCCTCCTCCCCCCGCAGTACAGGATCCATTCCAGGATCTCGGCTGCATTGCCTGGGGCCCCTCCTGGGCATGTGGATGCAGGGTCAGAGCCAGGAGCTGTGGAAGGTTGGGTCCCGAGGTTCTGAGTTTGGTGCTGGCCTCCTGACTGACTGTCACCTAGGAGACTCAGGATGGTCCTTACTGCTTTCTGAGCATCAGTGTCTTCAAGCCCGAAGTGACAATGACGACGGTATCCATTTCTCAGGGTGTTGTGTGTTCAAGCACTGTGTGTCGTACATGGTAAGCTCTTGGTAAATGTCAGCTCTGAACAGTTTTCTGGACACTTGCCCTGGCTATCCCGTCACAGCAGCAGATGTTAAAATCCAGGCTCACCTTCCTGCTGCACACTGGTGCCTGATTCTCTGTTTTCTCTCCTGTTCATTAGTCCATGGTTTTCCCTGCCCAGAGTCTGCAACACACCCAGTCTCTTGCCCTCTGATCTCTGTCCTCCGCCTTCCCAGTCCTCGCCATTGAGGCTTGGTGACTGTTACCCTAGTCTCCCAACTGCTCTGGCCTTCCCCAGGTAACGAGCTTCGGCACGTCCCTCCCCATCCCCCCTCCGCCCCACCGAACACTGTCCTCTTGAGTATTCCCTCCCTCTCTGCTCTGTTCCAGGCACGTTCCAGACGTTCTGGCCAGCTCCTGCTCCTACCCCCAGGCCCTCGGCCTGAAAAGTCTTTGCCTGCTGTCTGCTGTTTCAGCCAACCTGCATCTGCCCCACCTTCCTCCAGAGCTTGTTCGTGGGACAGAACTTGATTGCTCCTTTATTAGTTACCCAGGCCCTTTGTCGCCTTGTTGTGCTCCGTTGAAATCACCTGCTCTTTTTTTGGAGTCTCCTCCAGCCTTGCCCTTTTCCACCCTCCCAGGAGGCAGATCTGATAGTGGTGTTCTTTGCCTCTCAGGTCCATGGTCTGCTGAGCCAAGATTGGGCACCTGCTCAGGGTGGCAGCCAGGTGCCTCCTCTGGCCCCACGTGCCCTTTGCACTTTGCCGTTTCCTGCTGCTTTCCTGCCTGGGATGGACCTCATTTCTTCCACCTCCTGACAGCCCTTTATTCTCTTCTCTGTTCTTGCTGTTCTCTAGCTTCCTATTTTAAAACTCTATTCCAGAAACCTCAGCCATCATCTCTGTTTTTCACCGTCAGTGAACTTACACGTATTGCGCGGCTTGTCAGGGAAACCGCAGCCCTTTGCCTCTCTACGTGTTCCCACCCAGAGATAATCATTTTCAGGTCTGCTGACTCTTGGAATTTGCCCTCATTATGTCTAAGGAACATCCTGGTGTTCCTAATCGACTTCTCCGTTTAGAGCAGTGTACGTACATACTTGCTTCCTGCCAGGGAACTCTCACTCTCGCTCTCGTGTGCTTGCAGCACACCCCCATCCCCGGTCTCCTGGGATTTTGGTAGGCAGTCATCAGGACTGGGTGAAGGGGACACAGTTCGATCACTTTTCTTATGTGTCAGCTCTGTTTTCCTTTGAGCTCTTTGTTGGCTTTGTTTTTTTGACCAAACTCTGGGCTTTCTGCACGTTATCTCTGCCTTCTCTTGGGACATTGAGAGTGTCCCATCAGTTTGGTGTTCCTAGGGAGGCCTTTGGGACCTGCTGTCCCAGCACTGCCGTCACTGGGGCCAGGCTTTCCCGGGAGCTCCTTCCCCTCACCTGGGGGCCTCTGGCCTCTTGCTGCAGAATCCCCGTCCAGTAACCTGTGTTGTCTTTGCTGACTTCTGCCTTTGTTTTGGTGGAGCACTTAGTACATTCTCCAGGAGCTTCTGGAGAAAGGGGTCACCGAAAGGGAAGTACAGTTCTTGCTATCTTGAAGGTCTGAAAATGTCCTTATTCTCTTGATTGGTGGCTTGGCTGGGTTAGAATCCCAGGTTAGGTCATTTTCTTCTAGAATTCTAAAGGCATTGCTGGGTTGTCTGAATGCCCAGCATTGCTGGTGAGAGGTTGGAAGCCATCTGAGCCCCAATCACTTGTGTGGGACATATTTCTTCCCTCTGGAAGCTTCTGGGATCTTCCCTTTGTCCCTGGGTTCTGAAGTCTCAGTGACCCATGTGGGGATGGGGAAAGTTCATCCATTGTGCTGGCTGTTGGCAGCCCTGTCAGTCTGAAAGTTTAGCTTTTGGTTTTGTTTGCTTTTCTTGAATGGTTTCTTAGTGATTTTCTTCCTTGTTTTCCTGTTGTCTGTGTTTGGAAGTTGTCTTTCTAGTGTCAGGTCTCATGGATGGCCTCTCTATTTCTCTCTTTTCGCCCTACTGTGCATTTCCTCAGTTTTCACCTTCCCATTCTTCCCTTATTTTTTTATTTCAGGGCTTGCATTTTTTCAATTTGGAACAGCTTGCTCCCCGCCCTCCACATATTCCTTTTTCTAACATCCTGTTCTTGTTTCACAGTGCAAGGCCTCTCCTTGTTTCCTCGGGTCTCTGCTTCCCCGCGGCTTGCTGTTTGCTGTGTGTCTCCTCTTAGGCTTTCTGGGGCTGCTGCTGAGCCTTGCTCTTTGGCTTTGCTTGAGAACAGGCTGTTTCTGGCTGCTGGGAGCACTGAGCCTGGGGGACTCCAGGGGGAACCCTTAGGTCAAAGTTCCTGATTCTTTCTCTTGGGCTGGTCAGAGGGAATAGGCTTCATGTCAACATGCTGCGCGCGTCACGAACGTAAGCTTCCCCCTGACTTCTCAGGTTACTGCTGTGCCTCTGGCCTCTGGCTTCTTCAGGCACTTGCTGGGGCACACTCTGGACCCTTCTCCTCTTTCATGAGGCTTCTTCCTGTCCTCCGGCTTCTCAAGGCATCAGCTGCTGCCAAGGCCTGAGCTGGTGGGGTGCCTGTCCTTGCTGCCCCCACCGCATGTGCCTCCCATCGTCTGCTTGTCAGGAGCTCCAAGTCCTGCACTTCTGTTGTCCTTGTCACACTAGGTTTAAGCCTCTTAAAAACCCCTTTATTCTATTTGGAATGGGGGTGTTCCAGCAGAGCGGACACTGGTCCACCGGGCTCACCCAGGGCCTCTGCTGTGTCCTCCCTCCAACCCATTCTGCGCCCTTCCCCACATAGGGAGGTGTGGGCTGGGACACCGCCTGCCGCCCCTCCTCACTGTGCCTGGGCGCATGCCCTCCTCCTGCCTCTGGTCCTGCAGCTCAGGGAGGCCAGGTCTATCACCCTGTCTGGGGCCAGACCCTGCAAGGCATACCCCGCTGTGTCCTAGCTGCTGCCTGGCCCGAGGCCACCTTGAGGGCCAGGACAGTGAGGTCAGCCTCTAGGCCCATGTGCTGACCCTCTCCTGGCAGCGCTCCTCACCTGGCCCTTGCA